ACAGAATATTCTAGGGAGAAAAAAAGTCATCTAATGAGAAAAACGTTTTTATTGTCATTTAGAAATGAAGGAAAATATATGAGTTTTAATTAAAACTCAAACTGTACTTTCTCTGATTAAAACTATACTCTGTTCTATTAGGTGAATCCACTGGAAAATTCAGTGGAAGAATTCCAAGCTTATAAAACTATTGTTTAATTAAAAACCTGCCTCTTCTGTGGATTAAAAACCCATATATCAGAGATTGAATCAATGAGGACACATGACAGGTGTCACAGCCAATTCAAAGGAGAAATTTTTAAATTATGTAGAATAGTAAAATAAAGGAATGTTGAGATGAAGGTGCAGGTGGAAACAAAACTAGCTTCTTAAGGAGAGGTCAACCAAAGGCCAAGCCACCATCTGCAGCAATACAAACAAAGACTGCTTCTCACTACTATCATTTACATACAACTTACATCATTGTAAAATGGCTTCCACGGACTTAGAATTAGATAGTAGACTTCAGACAATGAAGCTTTCCACCCACACATTTTCCATACACAAGGGTCCCTTTCCTTTGAAACAAGACAGAGTGGGGAAAGATGAGTATATCCACAGGTTAATTCATAGCAAGAAATTTAGGATGTTCCTCTTTGACAGCCTCCCCTAGACTCTGGCATGTTCAATGGAACATGTGCTAAAAATTAAGGGAACTCCTTACTGTGAGAAAACTCTATGCATAAACAAATAGCTCATACTAGTGTCAAAGCAAAACCACAGCTCTCACCTCAAGAGGATTAAGAGACATTCTAGAGCCAAATATGACTGGCCATGACCCAGAAGCAGATTCCAGTCACCCACTTCTCATGTTCCAAAATGGCCATGGTTTTAGAAGTTTTTACACTAACAGAATAAAAGAAGGCTGTAAGTCAAAACATTTAAAAACCTCTTTATTTTTTTTTTTCTTGTATGCGTTTATAGTGAGTGTAGCTGCCATACTGGGAGCTGCCTTAGGTCCTCTGAAAGGGCAGCAAGTGCTCATAACTGCTCAGCCATCCCCCTGGACCCTAAAAGGAGCTTTTTAAAAATTCAGATCATCTGGGAGATATTCTGGATCATTCTTTGAATGACTAGATCAAACCTCTAGAAGCTGTCAGAAGTTGAGTGAGGGACTCTAACACTCTCGCTAGGCAAGTTTGGAAAGTGGTGCTCTAGCATGTTTTAGTTTGTGGAGTTGGATACCAGAAATAAGATAGACTTGTACATCTTTAAGGGCCTATAGTTCTTTACAGGAATCCTGTAGGACCACTGGATTCATCCTGAATATAGCCATAAAGAGGTAGGGGATGGGGAGAGAGAGGGAAATGGGCTTGGTAGAGAATTCAAAATAAGCTTCACCTGCTACACCTGTATCTGATAGGGGGAAAAGAAGAGAGAAAAGAAAGAAAGATAATGACAAATGCAAAGCAAATCTTACAAAGGCTGAGAGTTCAAAGGGAAAACTCCAGCTACGCCAAAAGATCTCACAGAAACCTGAACCTATTCAGGACAGCTTAACCAGAAACTCTATAGGAGGGCTCCTGCACTGGTGGTTTTGAAAGTTCTTATGATGGTGGCAACCTGGAATGCAGGCTGATCACCTCAGCCTCCTAGCTTGAGCTCATCAGTTTCACAGGTGATGGAACAGGGCATAAGTACAGTGGTTTCAAGTGACTCAACTCTTCCTGCTAAAGAGGATGTGAGAATTTGGGTTGAGTTTCTTCTCTTTTAAATGAAAGCAAAATCACTAAACAGGAAATAATTTGTGGTAGATGTTGGATTTTTGTTATTGTTTTAAAGAGAATCAGACAGACTATTCCTTTTCTGTGAATAAAAAAGAACACCAGGAAAGTTGACTTTCTACTGATCAGTGTATACTATCCTGCCTTGGTTGAATGACATCTCAGAAATATGGTTGAAAAATGATAGGCTTAAATTTTTCCCCTTTGTAACCTATTGAAAAAAAGTATTGACTTAGGGTTAGGTTACTCAGTGGTGCAAAGGAAATAGACATGGAGCTGGCCTCAAACAGTAATAGAATCAGTGTCAATATCATTCAGGGGCACTTAGTCTCAATTTCATCTCTCTGAAAAAAATACATCTCATTATATCTAAAATGCCGTTGATTATAAGATGTACCATGATATGATAAACATGTTCAGTAAATATGTTCAGGTAATAATGTATGCAGTGTAGATGGGAGTAGTTCAGGATAAGAAAACAGAAACAGGAAAAGACTAAGAAAAAACAAGAGTCTGAAGGAGAAAAAAACAACCTTTGCTCCACAAGAGTAAGGAAATCCAAGATGTTAACTTTAAACAACCCTGGCAGATTCATTTAACAGATCAGTCTTTCAGTAACTGTGGTTTGAATAAAAATGCCCCCCATAGGTCCATAGGGAGTGGTGCTACTAGGAGGGGTGGCTTTGTTGGAGGAAATACATCATTAGGGTTGGGCTTTAAGTTTCAGAAGCTCAAGCCAGGCCTAGTGGTGCACTGTCTCTTCCTGCTGCTTGCAGATTCAGATATAGATCTCTCACCTACCTCTCCAGCACCATATCTAGTTACATGTAATCATGTGTAATCATGCTTCTGGACGTGACCATAATGGACTTCACCTCTGAACTGTAAGCCAGCCCCAATTAAATGTTTTCCTTTATAAGAGTTGCCGTGGTCATGGTATCTCTTCACAGCAATAGAATCCTAACTAAAACACTGACTGACAATGTGTAGAAAATATCCAGACCAAAATCATGCCAACGGAGGAGCAGGGAGAGGAAGAGAAGCTGTTTCTGCTCTCTGCTGGATTCTACAAAATTCTACAGCGCTTTCAGACAGCAGCTATAGAAACCAGGGCTCAGAACTAGCACTGCAGTGTCCCAGGACCATTCTGTAGTGAGAGCATATTCACCATCAACCTTGCCTGAGGAAGGTAATTTGTTGGCTCAAACTTTGGAAAGCACCTGATTAAGGAATCGAATGGCCCAGAGACTAAGAATCAAAGCTCCTTTCTTTGCCTTTTCTTTCTCTCACCTCGCTAGCATGAAGCACAGACGCTGGCTACCAGAGACTAGCCTTACTAACCATGAACCAAGGGTTAAATACAAACATACCAGGACAATGTTCATTAGTGTTGTCTACATCCATCAGGTGAGAGATTTGTAAAGCTTTGTAAGGGAGGTGTCAGGATGCTGACGGCCTCAGACTTCATTATTCACACGTCAACATCGCAAGCTCCTGATGACAAGTGCATGCCTTCCCATCACTATCGCGTCCAAATTTGCTTTTTAAAAAACTCATCAAAACCTCAGCCGCTGTGCATAACTACACATTTTCAAAGAAGAGAGTGAATGAGCAAACGAGGCAACATAGAGGACCAAACCCAGCAACACAGTGGACCGCATCTAAGGCATATCCAAACAAGATATCTCATTTCCTCAATAAACCTGAAGAGAAACGAATACTGGTCGTTGGGGGCTATTCAGCCTTTCGTGACGATTTCTAAGATGGCACTTTGGAGACCATCGAGGAACTTTGAGCGCGAGCTAGGCATCAGGCGCTATAAAGGACTTACATTACTATTTCCACATTCACTAGAGGTCGTTAGGGGTGTGTTTGCCCGTTTCCTAGTTTCTGTCGCCAAGTGCCTATCGCGGGGACTTTCAAGTGGCGACAGCACGCTCTAGAGCTGTGCGGCGCCGGGCTGGCCCGGCCCGACTCCCCGCGGGCAGTCCCGGCATGCCCCGCGGCCGAGAGCCCGGCGCCGCGAGGCCTCCTACCCGACATGCACAGCGCGCTCATTTGCATGCACGCCCACCCAGGTAAACCCCACGTGTTCGCGCAGGAGGCAACACTTCACTCAGGTCCAAGCTCGTGAGGTCTAGCCACACGACTCCTGTAAGAATAAACCTTTTCCCTTTGTTTACGGAGCACGCAGAGCGCGAGCTCAAAGTCACCCTAAGTGAAACTTTCTTCGCCTCTGGGACCTTATATAGCGCGCAAGTGGACCGTGAGTTCGTGCTCGCTTCGGCAGCACATATACTAAAATTGGAACGATACAGAGAAGATTAGCATGGCCCCTGCGCAAGGATGACACGCAAATTCGTGAAGCGTTCCATATTTTTGCAGCGGTTCTCCGCGACGCTCGTGCACGGCCTGGGCGACACGGCGCGCCACCACAGCGCACCCAGTTTCGTTCGTGCTCCTTTTCAGCAACCAAAAATGAGGTCCGTGGAGAGCGGGGGGCCCCGGGAGTGTGCTTTCGAGCAAAAATATGGAACGCTTCACGAATTTGCGTGTCATCCTTGCGCAGGGGCCATGCTAATCTTCTCTGTATCGTTCCAATTTTAGTATATGTGCTGCCGAAGCGAGCACGCTCTCAGCTGAGGTTCGCCGCCTATATAAGGGCCGAGCGCTCACGGACTTCACACTTACGGTGAGTTTACTAGCGCGTACGGCCCCGCGCGCCCCGAGAACCGCAAGACAGACTTCCTAACGGACATCCCGTGCTCACACCCGCGACCTCGGCTGCTGGAGAGGTCGCGCTCTGGGCCGTGCAGCGTGGCCTCTGCGGTATGCAGATGAGCGCCCGGTGCACGTCGGGTAAGAGGCTCCCCGTGGCCTGCTGGGTTGGGCTCTAGGTCCGCTCTGCGGGCACGCGGGGCTGCGGCGTTCCCGCGCCGGTGTGGGGGCCCGGGAGGTGGGGCCCGGGAGGTGCGTGGCTGCTAGGCGCCCCGGTCCTCCCCCGGCGCGGGAGGCCACGCCCTTCCACGCTCCGGGGCGCCCCGCGCAGGTACCGCCGCCCGGTGCACGTCTGCGCAGGCGCCGGCTCCCTGCAGGCGGGCGACCCGGGCCGCGCCCCTCGCAGGTGTCTGGCAGGCCCGTTGCCTGGTAACCAAACATCCGGAACACAGACGAAGGGGCGGAAGCCCACCTCGTCGGCCTGAGAGGCGAAGCTGAGGCTCGCTGCTCGCTCCGGAGTAGAACTGCAGGGTCACGCCTGGGTTTCCTTCTCCGGCATGTTACACGACGCCTACGCCCAACGTGTGTTAGCCCCGTTCCGACACAAACGTGTAAAGAACACACCCACTTGCAGGATGTACTGGTCAGGACGTGTGAGCGGTCAGACGGGGACAAAGGTCAGAAACTCGGCTGCCTGGCGTGGTCTCAGCTTTTCTCAGAATGAAGTCGGGCGAAGGCTTCCCTGCGCGCTTACAGTTGGCGCCGTTAGTCAGGTGTGGGAGGTGAACGCACCAGAAGCCCAACTTCTGCGTAACGAGGAGTCGCCCCCAGGGCCGTGGGTGCTCCCTCTAGACGTTGCACCCAGAGCGCCTTTACCCGCAGCCAAACAGTGAACCCCACGCCTTCCCGGGGTGCAGATGCTGGGCCCTGCTCTCGGCCGGGCCCCTCGCGGTTCTGGATACAATCGCGCACAATGGTAGGTAGGATCTTGTGAGCTCCCCACCGCTTTATGAGAGTGTGAACAGTCTACAGACCCGGGCAGGCACCGAGTGTGGTAGGATGGGTTTTCTTTGGTTCAGAGGAGAGTCCTGTGCAAACCCTACACACGCTCTGTCGCGATCAATCAATCAACACTGAAGTATTAAGGAATAAGGCATTGTATTTAATGTGACTGGAGTTTCACCTTTTTCTCTCCTTGTCAGCCCACCTTTCCTCCAACTTGGCACATGAAGTAATTTTGAGAATTGTTTAACTGGCACCCAGTTTTCTGATGTACAAATAGGAAATATTGGGAAGTCAGATGGACATTCTGCACTGCTGAGACAAAAGCAGAGAACAGAAATCCCACATGCATTCCTGGTGAGCATAGCTTTCTTTCTGTGTTTAGAGCTGTGAGTGTTTTCTTTCACAACTTTTGAAAAGTAAGAAAAACACTGTTTTTTCACCAAGGAATAAAGGAGTGAAAATGACATGTCTATTGAATTAAATTATCAAATTAGGAGCTGGGTTGTTGTTATTTTTTGTTTTTTTTTTTTAACTCTTTGATATAATTCTGCTACTAGCCTGACTTTCCAATAAGCTATTTCTGTTTTCAAAGCTGTCAAGTAGTAAACTGATGTTCAATTTTATGACTTGAATAAATGTATCAAAACCCTTTCATGTTCTCAAACTCCTAAAAACTTGACAACAGTTGGAAGACTGGCTAGTTCCCTTGAAATTCCTCCAAGTTGCATACTCCTTCAGAGTCAAGCTGCAATCCCCAAAGATCACTTATAAACCCTTATGTTCTGAAAAGACCAGAAATGTTTATTGGATACAGAAAGAAAAAAAAAAAATAGGTTTACATCAAATTTATTGAGAAGAAAGTCTTTTCAAACATGTGTAAAGGAATTTTAATCCAGCAACATGGCCGATCTGGCAAGGGATCACATCCAAAGACCTAGTTCTGTGTGATCCAGCTGGAATGCAGAGACACTGGATTACAATGTGATCTGGCTGGAATATAGACACGCCCTCAGTACACACCTTTAATCCCAAACAATGAAGGTAATTTCCAGAAGGAAGCAGCCATGTTTAAAAGTGACCCCTGACTGAGGGGCAAAGCTTAGAGGAGTGCAGGAGTCCCAACATTAAATTATTGCAGTACATGATGTTTAGGAAACTCACTTGTTGAGTCTCCTAGTGAAGAGACGAAGCCTGAGGACATAGCATACAACAATGGGATTTGAAGTGTATGAAATCACTTAAGAAAATCAAACCTCTGACTTTAAGACTGGCAGTGAAGAATCCGGGCGTAAGACCAATGTGCTGCTTGAGAAATCCTTAAAGCTATACTGCTGAAGCAAAGGAGGAATCTGTCTCAGTCTGGCCACTGTTTCAAGAGAAATACAGGCTACTGACCTGTATACTCAGAAATTCCCTCTTTTCCCCTAAAACAAGGCAGAGAGTTCTATCCAGCGAAACCAGTCAAATGATGTCATCTCTCTTGTGGTTTTTGTTTTTTGTTATTTTGGGCCTTTGCGGGAGAGGCAGGTTAACTTGGTTTTATTTTATTGTATTTATTTTTTAATTTTTTTATGAATAGACTCAGCACTGTGTCTGCTATGGATAAAGCTGGGAAATGTAGAACTTCACAGAGGCAGTTAGTAGATAGTGAAAGTTACTCTTTTACAACATTTCAAAAGTAATCATAGACTAAATTTTATGATTATTACTCCCATTCTGTTTCGATTTGGGTTATTCAAACTAAGGTTAAACTTTCGTTTGTACAGCCTGTCCTGAAAGAATTTGGCTCTTGCTTGCTGCACAGGCATTATTTGCAGTATTTTAACTGCCTGTGTTTGTTTCCCATGAGCTCCCACAAAGAGGCACATCTCTCAGAGACATATCATTTTCATGATGTGGTTTATTAAAAGCATAAGAAAATAAGTGTTGGTCAATGGAAATGTTATTTATGTGTATACTATAACTAGGAAAAAGACGTTTTGCCTCTATAGACAAATAGTTCAGGGTAAGTGTAGCAGCAGACACTGGCCATGGCCCTGCCTGCATGCCAGCCAAAGAGCAGCCAGTTAAAAACACAGCCACTTGAAATAGGATTCTTCAAGTTAATATTAAAATGAAAATCTTTATGCGCTGTTTTGAAGTTCTTACACCATCAATATATAGAACATTGTAGGATTAAAGCCTCCAGTCAAGATTAGTTGTTTAAATTCTAGTTCATGAGGAAAAAATTTTAATCTCACACTAGATTATTTCTTCAAATTGCTTTTGGGCTACCTTATTTAGAGTATTTATGTTTACGAATGAAACAATGTAATATTACTATTACCATATTATTATATCGTATTATATTATATATCATGATTAAGAAAAAACACAGGAAAAAACTCAAAGCTGTAAAAAATAATAGTAAAATGGCCAAAATCAGGTTATTTATCCCTGTGTTATGGTACACATGATTCAGATTTACCTTGATGTTCAATTTTTGCTTAAATTAAATAACATTTCAGTTGTCTGAATGAATGCTTAATCAAGCCATCTTTATGTTTAAGTCAGTAAACTTGCATTAATCTTTTGTGTTTTATTGCAACATCCCCATGGGGTTACATGGAGCTTTGGAACTGCTTTTAATATTTTTATTGCATTATTTATTTATTCTGTGTGCATGTGTGTGGGTGGATATGTCATGGCCTGTGTGTGGAGGTCAGAGGACAATTTGCTGGAGTTAAGATTCCTCTTCCCACCAAGCAGGTTCAAGGGATCAAACTCAGACCAGTACACTTGACAGCAAGCACTTTCGCCCAGGGAGCCATCTCACTGGTCCTGGTTTTCAGTGCTTCTGAGAACTCCAAAATATGTGGGTAAAATTTAGTTATCTTTTCTTTTAAGTAAAAGATTAACTTGAAATAGGGATTATAGAAGAACACATAGGGAAATATTTTTGCAACCTTGAGAAAGAGTTCTAAGATGGAATGCAGAACATAGAAACTCTGAAAAACTTGCTAAACTGGTCTTTATCATACTATAAAACCCTGTTCACTACAGAGACAAACTGTAATACAAGACAAAAACTGAAAAAAAAAAAAAATCAGAACCTTATCAAGAACAACTCAAGGTGGAGCTGGGAAAAGGCGCAGCAATTAGAGCCCTGGCTGCTCTCCCAAAGGACCCAGGTTCATTCCCAGCACCCACACGGCAGCTCACAATGTCCAGGGGACTGACCTCCTCTTTTGACATCTGAAGGCACCAGGCACATGGTGTACAGACAGACAGACATGCAGGCAAAACACTCATACGCATAAAAGAAGTCCAACATATGCTAAATAATAAATTGAGAGATGTTTTTACATTCCAACATAAAAAATATGTCAGAATATGGTCAAAAGGTTTAAGCAGACACTTCACAAAAATACAACAAATGAAAATCAAAATAAGACAAAAATAAAAAATGAAGAAGGATATATAAATGGCTAATGGTTAACAAGCAAGTGAAAACAACCCCATTAATCATCAGAAAATTGCTAATGTCCATTGAATACCATTTCACAGAACTAAAATGGCAGGAACTAAGGATAAACAAAGCAAACAGGTGTCCTGGGGAGCAGCTAGAGCTGTAGGTGACTGTGTCAGGGAGGGAGAAGGGAGTAAGTGTTACATTTTGAAGAACTATTTAGCTTTTCCTGTGTGGTGATTTGTGCTCATTGTCAGTCTGGCAGAATCAGGAGTCAGTGGAAGATGGGCCTCTGCCATTCATGTGGAGTGTCTGGATGATACGTGTTGGTGTGCGATGCATTTTAACTGTGGGTACAAGCATTCTCTGATCGGGAGCTTCTGGGCTGTGTAGAATGGAGAAAGTGAAATGAGCAATTGCAAGCTAGCACCCACCCCTCTTTCCTCGCTGTGGACCTGATGTGACCAGCGCCTTCAAGCTCCTGCTGCCTGGACTTCCTTCCATGATGAACTGTATACCTTGAACTATGAGTTAAAATTACTCCTTAATTTGCTTTTGTCAGAGTATTTTATCACAGCAATAAGAAACTGAGAAGTCTTACAAAAGAAAAGCATATTGTGACCCACCCATTTCTAAATATTTATACAGGAGAAATTAAGACATAAGTCCGAAGTCCGAAGCCTTGTATAACAAGGGGAAAGACTGACATATTGATAAAATGACAAACAACACAATATTGATGCAGTGGAATTCTGTTCAGCAATAAGAAGAAACACATTGCTGATGTGTTGGAAGCCTTTCACAGGTGTGGTGCACAAAAGAAGGCAACTGAAAGAGGTTTTCACTGAGTCTATCCACAAAAATCTGTGACCACTCAGCAATGAGGAGAAGGTGCATGCTCACCACTGAGCCTGATGGCCTGCACTCTTTCTCCGGGACCTACGTGGTGGGAGGAGACACCAACTTCTGACTCTCCCACATGACCATGCACTCCCCTCTTCCCACAATCATAAATAAATAAATGCAATTAATAACTGTTTAAGCTAATTAGGCTAAAATCCATTAATAAGCAAAGCTGACCTCATAGTGATGGGAAAATGATATACCAGTGGAGTGAAGGAGATATGGTGTATGGAATACAGAGTGTTACAGGGAACAGAACTTTCTGGAATAAGGTAAAGTTCTTCATCTCAGTCAGCATGCAGATACTCATCTGTCAGAGTTAGAGCTGTACACTTGAAATCTAAAATCACTATTGTCACTCACACTGCAACACTATGCTTAAATAAAAAGATTTGAATTGCTGATATCTATGACCAAAGGGTTCACTGTTCCAAAGAATAAAACCACAGTTTCTGGAACTTCATCTGTATCCTCCTACTACATATGTATTGATTCCACACAGTCGGTAGACATCATGACTGGTGAAGCTTCAGTCAAGCTGAGTTGAAATATCTTTGTAACTTTGTACTTATGTGCCAGACAGCATTCTTGGTCCCAGTGTGCAGCCATGATCAAGTCCCTGTACCTCTTGCTTCACCGAGTTTGTGTGTGTAGAAGAGATAAACAAGGAAAAGCCATGCAAATGGAAGCGTAGAAAACTTCAGGTGTCCTTGAATACAGTAAAGATAAAATATTTATAGAAGGGAAGAACATGACCATATTTTAGTTATTGCTGAGACAAATTGAGCCATACATGTTTGCATGTCAAATTATCCTATGTTTAGTTCCCTCGTGGTCACAGATAGCAGCTTCTACCTCTTTTGATCTCATTGTGCAGTGAAAATCTTTTTAAAACATACAACATGAAGCGATGTTTCACTTGTGCGTATTTATTTCCTCAGAGCCTTTCAGAAAGGACAAATTCGCAGTCCATCGGATCATTATCTTAAAAATCCAGAGCACAGGACTGTGCTTAAAGAAAATCACAGGACCTTATGCACACCCACCACATCCATTCTCTGGAACTCCACTTCTCCTTAGGACTTAAATATCTAAGGAGTTACCCAGTCAAAAACCTGGGAATTTCTAAGTCTCTAAGTTCAAAGTACCTCGTAAAAATATGACTGCATACCAACCCCATTCATCACACCAGGCATCGTACAGAGAATTAAAACTCCGGTTAGCTCCTACCACACCGGAATGGATTCAGTCATTCAGTTGATGTACATGACCACCAATTTGTTTTTTATTTTTTTAATTCTTTATTAATTACACTTTATTCACTTTGTATCCCTCTTATGGTTCCCTCCCTCCTCCCATCCCAATCCCTCCCTTTGTCTCCCCTCTGCACGCATGCCCCTTCCCAAGACCACTGATAGGGGAGGACTTCTTTTCCTTCCTTCTGATCCTAGTCAATTAGGTCTTCTGTGTTCTTCTGTGGCCTGGTAATGCTGCTCCCCCCTCAGGGGGAGGTAATTAAGGAGCAGGCCAATCAGTTCATGTCAGAGACAGTCCCTGTTCCTATTACTATAGAACCCACTTGGACCCTGAACTGCCATGGGCTACATCTGTGCAGGGGTCTTAGGTTATCTCTATGCATGGTCCTTGGTTGGAATAGCAGTCTCAGAAAAGACCCCTGTGCTCAGATATTTTGATTCTGTTGTTCTCCTTGTGGAGTTCCTGTTCTCTCCAGATCTTACTGTTTCCCAATTCTTTCATAAGGTTTCCTACACTCTGGCCATAAGTCTCAGCATCTGCTTTGATAGTCTGCAGGGCAGAGCTTTTCAGAGGTCCTCTGTGTCAGGCTCCTGACTTGTTCCCTCTTTTCTCCTTCTTCTGATGTCCATCCTCTTTGCCTTTCTGGATGGTGATTGAGCATGTTAGCAAGAGTTCTCCCTCTTGATTAGTTTCTTTAGGTATACAGATTTTAGTAGGTTTATCCTATATTATATGTCTATATGAGTGAATTTATACCGTGTGTGTCTTTCTGCTTCTGGGATAGCTCACTCAGGATGACCTTTTCCAGATCCCATCATTTACCTGCAAATTTCATGATTTCCCTGTTTTTTATTGTTGAGTAATATTCCATTGTGTAGATGTACCGCAATTTCTGTGTCCATTCCTTCACTGAGGGGTATCTGGACTGTTTCCAGCTTCTGGGTATTACAAATAAAGCTGCTACAAGCATGGTTGAGCAAATATCTTTATTGTGTACTTGAGCCTCTTTTGGGTATATGCCTAGGAGTGGTATAGCTGGATCCTGAGGAAGCACTATTCCTAGTTGTCTGAGAAAGTGCCAGATTGATTTCCAGAGTGGTTGTACAAAGTTTACATTCCCACCAGCAGTGGAAGAGGGTTCCCCTTTCTCCATAACCTCTCCAGCATGTGTTGTCACTTGAGTTTTTGATCTTAGACATTCTGATGGATGTAAGGTGAAATGTTAGGGTCGTTTTGATTTGCATTTCCCTTATGACTAAGGATGTTGAACATTTCTTTAAGTATTTCTCTGCCATTCAATAGTCCTCTGTTGAGAATTCTCTGTTTAGCTCTGTACTCCATTTTTTAATTGGATTACTTGATTTGTTGCTATTTAACTTCTTGAGTTCTTTATATATACTGGAAATTGGCCCTCTGTCAGATATAGGGTTGGTGAAGATCATTTCCAAGTCTGTAGACTGTCGTTTTATTCGTTTTGACAGTGACCTTTGCTTTGAAGCTTTGCAGTTTCATGAGGTCCCATTTATTGATTGTTGCTCTTAGAGCCTGTGCTGTTGGTGTTCTGTTCAGGAAGTTGTCTCCTGTGCCAATGAGGTCAAGGCTCTTCCCCATTTTTTCTTCTAAGCGGTTTAGTGTTTCTGGTTTTATATTGAGGTCTTTGATCCACTTGGACTTTAGTTTTGTGTGAGGTGATAACTATGGATCTGTTTGCATTTTTCTACATGTAGCTATCCAGTTAGGCCAGCACTATTTGTTGTACTTTTTTCCATTGAATGGTTTTGGCATCTTTGTAAAAAATCAGATGTCCGTAAGTGTGTGGATTTATTTCAGGGTCTCCTATTCGATTCCATTGATCCACCAGTCTGTTTCTATGCCAGTACCATGCAGTTTTTAGTATTGTTGCTCTATAGTACAGCTTGAGATCAGGGATGGAGATACCTCTTGAAGATCTTTTATTGTAGAGAATTGTTTTAGCAATTCTGGGTTTCTTGTTGTTCCATATGAAGGTGAGAATTTTTCTTTCAAGGTCTGTAAAGAATTGTGTTGGTAATTTGATGGGAATTGCATTGAATCTGTAGACTGCTTTTGGTAAGATGGCCATTAATCCTGCCAAGCCATGAGCATGGGAGATCTTCCATCTTCTGATATCTTCTTCTAATTCTTTCTTCAGAGACTGGAAATTTTTTTTCATACAAGTCTTTGACGTGCTTGGTTAATGACCACCAATTTTTAAGCATCTATTATGTACTGTTACAATAGTATTACTGTTATTAATGTCTTTATTTATTTTGGTCTTTATCAGTAAAGGGGCAGAGAACTCAGCCCCTAAGAGTTTTAGCTATGTTTGACAACAGTGAAAAGCCAAGTACTGCAGTACTCTCAGTTAAGATCACAAATCTTATAGAAACCCAGTTTTTGTTTTTATTCAAAGCCAACTGCTCTACCAGCTTAAAGAGGTGAAGCCATCCCTGCACGTCCAGTTCCTATGTAGACTTGTACTATCCTAAAGCCTGCCATCGCTCTTCCTTCAAGAACTCTTCAGCCACTCAGGAAGGACAGCTAGCACCATTAGTCACTGCCTGCTTGGAAGCAGAGACGAGCAGAGGACAAACGTGATCTGCCCTGTGGCTTGCACTGTCAGAATGGAATTGAACCCAGGAAACCCGAGTTGTCCTTTCTAAGCCCATCATCTAGCATCTCCTCTGTACCGAGCAGTCCACGTGAGAGAGAAACCATGCCGACAGTCAGCTGACTCCTCCTAGACAGATGAAAGACTATGCTTGTGTTTATTTTGCCTCAGGAAATGGTGACAACCGTGATGCTAACTCTTGAGAAACCATGAGTCAGGAATGTAAATGAAGGCAAGAAATTAACCTGAGGCGTACAACTGTGCATTCTTAACACTTGAACAGAACAGAAACTGGGGGTCAGACGTTTATTTATATAAATACTAATAGTTAATAGGAAAAGAGTGGACAGGGGTTATACAGTCACACAAGCAGAAGAGGAAGAGGAAGAGGAGGACTCTTGCTTTCACATTCTGATGCAAGATTAATGAGGATCCTCTGGGCTAAAGCTCTGTGGTGAAGTGTCTGCCTAGCATGCGGGAGGCCTTGTTTTCAGTCCTCAGCACTACAAAGGCATGAAAAATTTTCTGTAGATTACAGGATTCTCAGTCTGTAGGGCTGTTAGAAACACAGGCTGAACATGTCAGCATTTGAGTCTTAGCTCTGCCGTTAGATGGCGCTATGTAGAGTTCTTTGTACTTGTTCACATTCCTTGAGAATAAACCAACTTCTGTTATTTTAAGATTAAAGTAAGAGGGTGCACTCAGTATGCCTGGCTCGCAAAAGACACTCAGAGCACTGTTGCTTCATTTTCTCTCTTCTTTCTATGTAGTTCTTCTCACATAACGCTTTGTATAACTAGTTACCTGGGTGTGTCTTATCTTTTCCCCTCATTAGACTTTAACCTCTGTAATGATGGAAATGGCAGCCTATCATTTTTCTTTCTCTGAACATTGTCCTTACATAAAAAGGTTCTTGAAAAACTATGCACTGAATGCTACATTTTGTAATCCAGCAAACAGTCAAGCATTTTAATAAATAAAACCATCCCCAAATTCCCAGTGATTTTTCATCTTCACTGGGTAGGGCACTTTTTCTTTCTTTCTTTCTTTCTTTCTTTCTTTCTTTCTTTCTTTCTTTCTTTCTTTCTTTCTTTCTTCCTTTCTTTCTTTCTTTTCCTTCCTTCCTTTCTTTCTTTTCTTTCTTTTTTTCTTTCTCTCTCCTTCCTTCCTTCCTTCCTTCCTTCCTTCCTTCCTTCCTTCCTCTCTCTCTCTCTCTTTCTCTGTCTCTCTCTCTCTCTCTCTCTCTCCTCTCTCTGGACTTGCTTTGTAGACCAAGCAGGCCTCAAACTCAGAGATCCACCTGCCTCTGCCTCCCTGAGTCCTGGGATTACAGGTGTGCGCCACCATTCCCAGCTTCAC